GGTGGGGGTGGCGGCGGCGGTGGTGGTGGTGGGCGTTGGCGTCGTCGAAGCGGTGGTGAGGGACTGCATAGTAGGTAGAAGGTACCAGGCAGCAGCGGCGGCGGCGGTGGTCGGCGATGCTATGTACCGCGGTTGGGCATGCCAGGTCCCGCTCGGAAAAGCCTCGGTGTGGATGTTTTGTGCCAGCTTCGATGTGTGGCAAGTCCGGTTGAGACGCCGATCGATGCACATTTCGTCCTAGCCATGCAAGTTCAATCCCACATTGCAGCATTCATGTGCAAGAAGTTGCATGCAGGTTTCTCCCGACAGCCCAGTGATCGCGATGTGAGTCTGCAGGAGAGACGGCTTAAACTCTGCAGTTGCAGGCGTCATGGTGGTCATCAATCCTCAAAAGTCATCCCCATCATCTTCAAAGTTCCACACATTCATACCGCTCTCGTCTTGTGACTTGCCTGGAAACTGCTTGGTATGTTCTTGGTCCACTCTCTCCATGTGCCTCAAGGGGCACGGAATAGCCATGAGCTAGCAAAGAAGTGTCTGCATTCAACTTCCTTTTGGGGCCGTGGCAGCATCTGCTCGGTCGCCCGTTTCAGCTCCTTGCGCTCCTCCCTGGACACGATGGGCCGGACAACCGGACAAGTCCCGCCTCCCAATCTCCACAAGGAGCCTCAGCTTGTCGCGCCAGCTCCTGAAGTGGAACTGCTGCCACCACATAAGCATCTCTACTGCAGGACCTTCCGAGCGGCGTGCCACAGATTCATCTGGAAGATCGCACGCTTCAGGAGCACTTGTGCCTTAGGGCTGGCCTGCCTGCTTGGGCCTTCTTGCACTCCACAACTTGGCCACCCGAGATCCTCGCTGGAGCCGATGCTCGCACAGATGTGCCTCCACAACTCTTGAACTCCTCGATGCTCCGGCCTTGCGTACCGCTCCCGAAAGTGTTCGTCGCACCCATGCTGCAGTTCAAGTTCTCGGGTCGATGCCGAGCTTCTCCGGCGAGAAGGAAGCATCGGCCATGGCCCACTGCAGGAGCCGACAGGCCTCCGAGAGTTGGCGGCGCTTCGAGCGGCGCTCCGCGGCGCCTCGGAAAACTCCGCGTGGCGGCGCGGCCCCAGGCCTCCGAGAGTTGGCCGCTTTCCGCACCTTGAAACTCCTCTGCAAAGCTTTCCCAGGGGCCTAGAGTCAGAGAGAGAGAGAGAGAGAG